CCCCAAAACCCCAAAACCCCAAAACCCCAAAACCCCTCCTCTTCAAGCCACTACTGAATTTCCAAAACTTAAAAAATCCTGCTTAGCAGATTAGCTGTGAAGATTCCGCTCTGGTCGAGACTTGTTGCCCGTTCTTGAGACTTTGGAGGAGCACCGGCCATATGGAAGAAACTGCTCTTGCGACTGTGCGCTGGGTTAGACTGGTTTGAGTGAGCTAAAAAATTTTAAGTGAGGAAGCAAGGTGAGAAGGGAAGAATTGGGGCTGAAGAGTTACAGGTTTTGTGAGAAGTGGTTTTAGCATAGGGATCTGGGAACAAGGATTTTCCAGATATTTTTCTGTAGTAAGGTCTGTTTTTGTAGTTTTTGGTTAATATTCTGATTCCTTTTGTGGTGATAAGGACTTTTTGGTTCCCAAGAGTTATGTCTAGGGTTTAAATCTACAAGGATACCAATTTTAAATCTTGGGTTGCCTTTGTTCATCTGTATAGTTCTGCTGCTATTCCTTTTGTGGCTAAATAGTTACTTTTAAGTTAATACTTTTTATGGATGTTTTCTTCAAAATCAATAGATCTCTGTTGGATTGGAGCATAGAGACTCTCAGGTTCAAAATTCCCTGCCTTGCTTTCAAAAGCCTCTAACAATATTTTTAAAGAAATTACCTTCTAGTTTAGAGTATGTTTTAGGAGTTATGTAACGATGAACATTTTTGAACTTTTTGATAAGATCTGATTCATGAGTAGCATATTGATTATTTGGCTGAGTAGTTGAATAGATGCTCTTAAATGTTGTGATTGCATGATCTATTCATTCTTTGCTTGAATAGTTGCTACTCTATATGATAAAAAATTAAACTACCTCTAAACTGCCCCTTTGGAGTTTCAAAGATGTGTTTAGTCTTTGCTCATTAGAAGAAGTTCTGTAATTAGTGCAATAACTTACTTGTATTTTGGGTTTCCATGCCTAAATCCTTCTTTAGCAGACTTTATTCTGCAATTATTGAATGTGATATTTACAATATTGTTTTCTTTTGATTTGTTAATTTTTGGAACAGACTAAAAATAATTGGATTGTTACCTTCTTCTTTAATTTTTTGATACTCATTTGTTTATTTCTTTCACACCAGAGATCTATTAGTCTTTGTAGAGATAACTTGCATAATCTTTCTGTTAAGTCGATTTTTCTTATTTATTTCAGAATGTTCTCCTAAAATAGAAGGCTGCAAATCTAATTTTCTTCTATTGCATAATTTATTAGTTTGCTTGTCCTGATAAATTCCTTCTAGTATTTCCATGAAAAGATTTGATTTGGTTCTATAAAATATATTTGAGATTTTAATTTCTTGAGTATTATCAAAATCATAAAGCAATTTTGCAAATTTCAAATTACAAACACATAAAAATCTATTTTGTAGCAAAATACAACCACCAGTGGCAACCCCACCGAAGCTTATCTCTCTCCCAAAACCCCTCCTTTCGCCCTCTCTTACCCTCCTTCTCCCCCTTTATTTCCTCTCTCTGACTCCATCTGTGTTCTCTTAATGTCCAAATCTACTAAAGTTAGAAACCCGAATAACCCTAGAGTCTAAGAAAGCCCAATTTTGTTCTGAATGGTTTTTTACCTTTGTTCTGGGCTAATAGTTTATAAGTGGGGTTGGACTGGTCGCTGGGGTGGAAGGCTGGCTTGGGCTGGGGATAGTGGTAGTCTATGTTATTAGAAGAAATACGTAATATAAGTGGAAAGAGGATATTTTTATTTGGAATATTATTGGGTGCTCCCTTCTTTCTAAGGATACATCTTACAATAGTCATCTATCAATCACCTTTAGAGATAAGAAAATATTTCCTCACTTAAGCAACCCCTCCACTAAGCTCCATATATCCCAAAGACGCTACTAAGATCAAATATCCCTTCACCAAATACAAATTCACATATAAAACGACAACTTTCCTACTTTCCCCTATCATTAAACACTCAACGCTAAACAATCAAAGACTCTTACCTTTGTTACCGAAATATCTGACTGTGCTCTATGGGATAAGACAAGGAACAAACTTTTGGGTTCTCTCTAAAGAGTTAATAGGAGAGATACCTTTGTTGCAGACTTTGTTTGATGGTCGTGCGACGGAAGTTTTCTTGGAAAGATCTTTCTCTACCAGAGAAGCCGGGTTTTAGTTTGTTGGGGTTGATGGTTACTCCGCTGATCCCTTTTTGGAGGTTGATTGTGTTGATGCTTGATCTTGAGATATTATTTAGTTGTTGACATCTCGGCTTTTTTGACAGGGGGGTTTCTGCCCAAATCTTTCTTTGCAGTGCTGATGATAATCTTGTTGATTGCAGCAGGTCTAGTGCTGTGATGTTCTTCGAGATATCAGTTTCTGTTCGAATTGAATTCAAATTCTTTTGATTTAAGTTCAACATAAGTTGTGAGGGGACGTGGAGAGTCTAGAAAAATAAGAATAGTTATACTCGTCGGTTTAGGCTTGTTTTTTGGAGGACTCTTAGTCTTTGGAGGAGATTTTGATCGATGCTTAAGAGAAGAGGAGCTCATTTAGTCAAATTTAAATTTATAAGTTTAGGTTACAAAAAGGGGTTTTGGGGTTTTGGGGTTTTGGGG